TGCAGTGAACACATGCTGGAGAATTTCACAGCCCTACATGTAAAAGTCAGCCTCGAGTTGATTGAAGCAATTCAACAATCATTCTTTAAAAACAAAAAAAGATTTATTTATTTGTGCATTTATTTATTTATTTATTTATTTATTTATTTATTTATTTGTGGGATACAGGCCAGAGATGCAGGGGCGGTGAGAGGATTCACCAGAGACAGAGTGGGGAGCAGAACAGATCGAGGGGAGCAGCAGGCAGGTCAGAAGAGGTCTGCTGTGCCATGTGGGTCACCTCTGGGGCAGGGATCGAACTCATGCTGAAGTGGCTTTAGCTTCTTAGTGCTGTGCTTTAACCTGCTGTGCCACCAGGGAGGGCCTTCAATCATTCTTAAATCCTCTTCTGTACCAAAGTTGAAGAAAGGAAAGGACTGGAAAAAGACAGAGAAAGACCTATCTTTTAATAATGAGCATAACTCGCTGCTGCAACAAATTACCCAGTCCCTGAAGTTCTCTGTACCTCCCTGCCCTCCTATAAGACCTGAAAACCACTGGAGAAATTCTTTCTCAGGCCCCTGCCTCCCTTGAGAGTCTGAAGGTTCAGAGGCAGCTGAGGTCAGAATCCTGGTTCTCCCAAACTTGCCACAGTCAGAATGTCAGTCATAAATCAGTACAGTCATATCGAAGCAGTCGCTTGGGTTGGGGTTCCACCTGGGTGTGCGGGCTTCAGCGTGGGCTGGGAGGATGGCCTCGACATGTGATGACTCCCAGGGTGACAGGCCCATTACCACGGTCTCAAATTGCCAACATGATATCACAGAACCCAGAGTCGGGAAGGAGAGGCACGCTGTCCGCTGGCCCCTGCAAACCACCCACTAGAGAGTCCAAGGAAGCATTTTCTTCTGACTAGTCTATGTAGAAAGGATTTCAAGAAAGGGGCAAGGTTTAAAGGAGACCCTAAAGGCTGCCAGCGGAGGACCTGTTCCACGGTGACTGGCAAACAACAGCACGGTGACGTGCTGAGAGGGACATATGCGAGACAGGAGATGTTTCAGCACAAGTGTGTGAGCAGAGGCTCCATCATGGAGTCCTGACACCCTTCCACCTCTCAGCTCTTCTGGAACTTGCTTCTATTTGTGATTTGATACCATTGTTTCCTGCCACCAAGGGGCTTCTCTGAGGAAATATGGCCCAGGCAGCCCAAAGTCATGTCTTCACAGTTAACAATTCAGAGGAAAAGCAGTGTCCCCTTGTGGAGGCCTTGAGGAGAGACTGACTCTTAACTGGGCACAGAAGCAAAGGAAGCAGGTCCACAGGCCTCCTGCCACCAGAGCCTCGGACACAGCCTTGCCCTACCACCCACGAGAGCCACCCTACAGGATCTTCAGGGCACAGAGGGACACTGGGTAGCTGAAATCACATGGGGGAGGCTCTGTGGAGACAGAAGACATGCATGCGTGGCAGGACAGACACAGAAAACTGAAGATGCATCCAGGGGTTATTGGCAGGGAGCAGTTTTTCCCCACCCCGCCCCCCAGGACATTTGACAATGTCTAGGATGATTTTGCTTGTCCCTCCTGGGCCAGGGGGCTCCAACTGTCATCTGGAGGGCAGAGGCCAGAGATGCCACTGCAGTCCCCACGACAAAGGTTTCTCCAGTCCAGATTTCAGTAGTACTGAGACTGAGAAGCACTGCCATACAGGACAGATAGGAGACAGGGCAGGGGTGGGGTGTGACACAGTAGGGAGGTAGCAGTTAGTGAGGCCACAGAAAGGCTGAGGAGTTTAGGCTTCGTGCTGACGCCTCACAGAGCAGCGAGGTGGGGAAGGCTAAATTCTTTTGAGCCCAGCTACTCCTGCTGGGTGCCTCTGCACATACAACTGGCCCTTTTGAACCCTTCAAGACTCAGGTTAAACGTCACCTATGAAAGAGAGCTCCCCAGACCTCCTAATCAGAACTCCCCCACCCCATATTCGCCTTGTCTCCCAGTTTCCTATTCCTTTCCTTCCTAATTCTTAGCATAATTTTGACTTCTGTGCTATTTGCAGGCCAAACATAGCTGATGGCTCCTCATAAGGCCCATGGAGCCAGAGACTTTGATCTTTTGTTCACCGCTGTGACCCCAATGTCAAGCAGGCTGCCTTGTGCATCACAGCTATTTGATGTTTAATCAATGGATCGATTCATTTGGGATCAGTGGATGATAGATTCAGCTGGGGTAGAGGATAGGAGGTGGAGAGAGAGGTCTCTGCTTTTTCTGCTTTTTCTGACCTACATCCATCTCCCATCTCTCAAGTCCACCGCCCCAAACGTAGTTCATAGCATGAACTATCAGTGAGGTCCAAGTAAAGATGCAAAGGCTTCTCATTATTTAAGCAGACTGGATTCCATAAAAAGACTTGAGTGAATTCAGAATCATTGCAGGGAAAGCCATGACCTGGTCTCCAGGCAAGAGTCCAGATTCACCCCAGTGACATGGCCAGGGAATGCCTACTCGGCCTCAGCCACCCTGTGGAAGCTGGGACCTGGCACCAGTGCAGGACCGAGGCTGCCCTGTGGCTGCTGTGAGAGCAGCCACATAAAGGACTCCTGGGCATGGCCTCCCCTCCACCTTTCTCCATCCTGAATGTCCACACCTATACCGGGGCCCAGGACTAGCTAACCCGGGATTAAAATGGGGACCTTGGCAGCGAGGAAATGGACTTGCTCTGTCCCATAGGAAGACACTCTGAAGAGAGCTGGACATGTGGAACAAGTCAATCTCCCACATCTGGCACATAGCCAGAAGGTAAACTATGGCCAACCAACATCATACTGGCATTGGTCTTCTCAGCGCATTCTAGACATGAATGAATGTGGAAGAAACTGAATTGAGTCGAGGGCAGAATCCGCCTCCTGGCTTGTACCTGCCCCACACACCATTGCATTTTGTTCTTTATTCCTGTTCCCTATGAACCAGAAGTTCACCTCCGTGTCCCCACTCTCAGAACAGGTGGTAAATGTTGGTGTCCTGAATGAAAGCCCAGAGCAGACTGGAGGAAGTTCAGAGTGACCCTCTAGAACAGCCACCACCAATAGAACTCGGCTCAACTTCAGGAGACTACAAACATTAGAAGAGCCCCACCCATCAATCTTTCACCCACTGCGCACTTATTAAGTGCCTGCTGGGTACAAAAGATGGCACCACTATCAGCGCCTACACTTTCTATTAACCATTTCCTTACCAACCAGGGTTTCAACCTCCATCACAGAGGAGCCCCGAGGGCCCCACAAGGAGACCCTGACCTACCTGGAATAGGAAGGAGATTTTCCTGAGTCCAAATTGTCTAAATGGGCTCCAGGCATTCCGAGCAGCATTTCCTTACCTTCCTCATTCCAGACACCGGTATCTAGAATGGCCATGAAGAGAGGCTCCCTACCAGGCCATCTAGACTGAAACCCACATACCATCTTTCATTCTGTTTAGCTCTCCCACATCCCCATCACCTAAATCTGTCTCAATCATCCCCACAGCTCAACTGAAATGGCACTCCCAGGTTTGCCCCTGCACACCTGCTTAACACTCAAACCACTCACTTCACTTACAAACTCTTGCATTGCCTCCACCAAGTCCTGGGAAGGCAGGCCTTTGGGCACCCTGGAGACCTCTATCTCCAGCATCTCGCCGGGGCCTGGCCCCAAAGTGGTGCTTGTTAAGTGTTTTTCGAGTGAAAAAGTTAAGTGTTTTTCCTATGTCCACTAACATGCATCTTTAACTACTATTTATGTAATATTACTAATCATTCTCTGTCCAGTTCAAAGGCTCTGTATAGTTCAAAACACTTTCCTGGCTGAGTGCCTCAACTTCGGGGGAAAGACAGTATAGTCAAATCATTATTATTTTTCTGACTTTTCAGAAATGAGGGGATGGACAGCACGAGTGTTTGAATGCATGCCTACATTAAAAATCTGACTCAAAATCTCGCGTCAGGGACCATCTGTTCTACAGATGCTCTGGCTGTTGAAGGAACTACTGGTAACTGTGGAAGAGGGCAGTGGAAGGAACAGGGGAGCAAAAGCCAGACTCCAGCCGGGCCTCAGGGCTGAGATTTTTCTTTCCTCTGGCTGGTTGCTGGTGTCTGGCTGCCGTCTACACAGATGGCTCTGTCTGTTCTAGCAGCTGGGGCCCTGGAGGGGCATGCCTCTCTCAACTGGATCTGGACCAGAGAATACAGGTCAGCAAGACTCTCTGCTGGGGAGAAGGGAGATGAAGTCTGGGCCACGGTGACACCTGTCCATGCTGCTATATGTGCACACACTCACATCCAGACAAAATCCACACCAAAGTGTACACACTTCTAAACACACTGATGAGTCACTGCGCGTGCAGACATCACACACACAGACATGGAGATATGGTCATGCACACTGGTATGCATGTTTGAACATGCATATAACACACGGTGATCCCACCACGATGATGTACACCCAGCAGCTTAGTCATACACCAAGCTGCAGCCCTGGCCACGTGTGCCAGGCCCCTGTGTCCTCAAGCCCAGCACATGCTTGGACACATGCACTTAGGAATTCCCACTCTGCATCACACACCAGGACACTCACAAGCACTCTCCAGTCCATCACACACCACACACAGAGATCCAACCCTGCTAACAAGCTGGCTTGCTCACACACACCCTAGTACTTCTGTGGGGTGGATGCTGCATGGAAGCAAAACACAAACAGCCACCTCTAAAGATGCTGGAGCACACACACACACATACACACACACAAATCTGTGCAAATGCCTAGGCAGCAATCAGCTCAGGCACCAAATCCTGCAAATACTCTGACACACAGAAACATGCAGCGACACACCAAGGGTCCAGCGCTGGAAGTTTTTACAAAACTATGGCAAAGAGAGAGCACCAGCCACGTGACAGAGGAGGCTCTGGGGCTCTGACGGGATAGGAAAAGTATGCCTGGGGCGGGCCTGGGTGGCCGGGGCGGGAACCAGCTGCTGCAGCCTCAGAGCCGGGTAACCCAGCAGCCCAGAGCTTGTTGCCGCGGACCCCTGCATGTGGCCAGCCATAAAGCCGGTGAGTGTGTGGGTGCTCAGCGGCGTGAGTGGGGCTGGGACATGCATGTCGGGGGGGGGGCTACTGGGCCTATTGGGGTGGAGGCTGGTCTGCAAGAGCCCCCAGATTCCTGGTTCTGCACTTCTGTCTTGTGAATTATAACATGGATTCACGTTTATGGCATGCTCACTTATGCCAGGCTGTGTGCGCAGTGGTTAGCTTTCTGCCCTTTAATGAGCTCCTGCTCTGTAGCAGACCCTGTGTGTGAGCAGACTCATCTCCATGGCATCAGGTGGTTCCCATCTGCCAAAGAGGAGCCAGGTTCAGAGGCTTAGTGACTCGTTCAGGGTTGCGCATCTACTAAGTGACTTGAAAAGTGCTAAATCAGTCCAGTGTGCAGACTGTAAATCCGAGTTACCTTCAGGAAGTGCATCTTCTCATTTACTCTCCCCAACATTGCTTTATATGCATTATACAAATGGGAAGACTGAGCTCAAGAGGCAAACAGGCAAGCTGAGATTGTCACCCACGTCCACACTACTCTCTCCTCTTCCTGCTCCCCAAATGACTCCTCTCTAAGCTCTGCCTTAACTTGTTCTAATTTCTCTGCCCCCAGCATCCCATTCCAGGGACACATTCTCAGCTGACCGTGGCAAGGGCCCTTAATGACCTCCCAGCCCAGTTCTTTCTTCTTACACCTTCCTTTTCTGCTCTTTGACCACAAAACTCTCAAACCTGGCAACACGGGCCCCTTCTCAGCTGGACAGCTCCAGAGACCCTGCTGAGCCAGCCCCAACAGCAGTAGCAAAGTCCTAGAGATGTCACTGAGGCCGAGCATGTGCTGTGAGTGGGTCTCTGCTCTGTCTGTCTCTCCTCCATGCCTGCCCACAACTGCTTGGCTCGCCTCTGGTCAGCGTCCCGCCTGGTGATCAGGTCCAGCGTCTCAGATGTGCGTGCTCTTCAAAGCCTCACTTCTACCCTGCCTCCTAACACACAAGTGCCCAGCAAAGTTAGTTTCTTCCTGAGTGTTTGCCATCTCCCCATTCCCAGCAGGCATGCAAACTTTATCATCCAGACCGTAAGTATTAGGGTTCACTTCTGCATCCTGTGCTGTAAAACCAACGGTGTTGATGCTAAGAAATTCAGACAGCACCAAAAGGTAGATCGTGGAAAAGAAAACTCCATGCAACTCTTGTTGCCCCCTAAAAGGCAACAAGAAGTGATTGCCCTTTAGAGATTTCCCACACACAAAGGCATTTCACACTATATTTAGGTTTTTTTTTTTTTTAACTCAGAAAATCAGACTTTATATTGCATGCTGAAACTGCTTTTCACTTAGCAGCAAACGAAGGCCACCTTGCCACACCTGTCTACACAACCTGCTTCTCAGAGTGAGGTCACTACGCATCAACACACGGAGAATCTCTTCCCCAGGCTGGGGCGCTCTTGGGGTATGCTGGGGCCCTCCATCAATATTCAGCAGGTTTCCCATTGGAGCTACTTCTCTCTCTGTCAGTCCCTCCATTCTTTGTGGCTGTCCCTTCTCTCACCTTCATGCACAGGTTCCTACATGCTTTGATCCTGGGGTAACAGCAGTCCTATAAATGCTCACACCTTCTCCCACTCCGTTCTCCAAGTCAAAGTTCTACCAACCTCATTTGGCTTCCAGGAGAGGAACTACTGCATAAACTAGATTTCTGCTAATCAAGTTCTATTCAAAGGAATTTCTATGCCATGTCTGTTCTAATGGAAATAATCCTTCCTTGTGCATTGGTATGAGCAGCTTGTTTTTATTATATGCACATACACAAACACTCTCATATATATACACACATACCCACCTCTCATCTAATAACCCCCAATTACTCTATAACAGAGATCTGGGCCGTCTGATTACATAGGAAGATATTCTCAAAAATCTCAAATCATTCAAACTTGGTATCACTCAAAACGACCCCACTGGGGCCTGGGGAGTACACCTCAGCACTATCACTGCTATGGCCTGAGTTTAATCCCCAGCCAGGGTGGTGACCCGCATGGCACAGCAGAACTTTCCAGTCTCACCCACTGCTCTCCTCAGCAGTGCATTTCAGTTGATCTGCCCACTCTGTCTCTGGCGAATCCTTTAACACCCGCATACCTCTGGCCTAGTCCTTGATGCAAAAATAAATAAATCTTTTTTAAAACCCTTACCCACCAAAGGATGGAGGCCTCTCTTCTTATCTGTTAAAACTAGAACGATCGGCCCTCCCTGGTGGCGCAGCGGGTTAAAGCACAACACTGAGAAGCTAAAGCCACTTCCGCATGAGTTCGATTCTCGCCTGCCCGGGAGGTGACCACATAGTGCGGCAGACCTCTCCTGACCCGCCCGCTGCTCCCCTCAGCAGTGTACTTCGTCCATCTGCCTATTCTGCTCCCCACTCTGTCTCTGGTGAATCCTCTCACCCTCCGCATCTCTGGCCTGTACCCCAGTTCTGTATGTACAAATAAATACATCTTTAAAAAAAAAAAAAACTAGAACGATTATGTGCAATGAACACAGTTTACAACCTAAAATTCCCACTGCCTTGCAATACTCTTTACCAACTTTTAACTGGGACACTGAGCTACTTCAGATTTCACACAGAAAGTGAAACAATAAATATGTTTATATCATGCCATTTCAAATTCAAATAAGTAAAATAAGGGAAAAACTGTATTCTTCCCTCTCCCCCTTTCATAGACAAGGAAACTGAGGCTTAGAGAAGTTCCATAACAGAGATCAAATATTTAGATAATAAATGATTTGTAGCCCCCAATCCTGTCCTGTGCTTCCTGAAAGCCAGTCCTGGATAGATCTTTGAGTTACCCAAGATGGTCTGACCAGAGTGATCCCCTGAGTACCCACAAGCCTAGGGAAGTCAAAGATGCTTAGCTTTTCCTTCCCAGCCCTTCAGAGCTCAAAATTTGTTCTCCTTCAATTCCTGCATCTTCAAGCATGTCCCTTGATTCTATTCCAAGGAGACAATTAGTCCGTTGTTTCCTTCCACTGCCTTCTGCTTGGTCCTGCATGTTCCTAGAGAAAGTCTGTCACAAAAGGAAAGGAGAAGGGGTGACCTTCTCTCTGGGTGGCACAGGTGTGCCAGGCCACCCCTGTGTGCCCTGTGAGAGCAGCAGCCACCACTTTCCTCTCCAGAGGCCCCCTGCCTGACCTCAAAGGCAATAAGAATAAGTGACAGGACTTATGGGCCCTGGTACCAACCTCCTGCACTCACGACTTTCCCCTTGACCTGCTGCCTCTTTGAGGAGGTGAGTGCTGGCCACTGAGCCACCTGGCTGTGTGTTAGGGAACCCGCACATGCCAGGTGGCCCACAGCAGATATCCCATCCTTCCCTGGGGACAGAACAGCTGGTCAGGAGCAGAAGCCACACCTCCCCAGGCTCACTCTTGGCCATGCCAGACAGAAAAACAGCTCAGCCAGCCTAGATGACAATGGGGAATTTGTTAGACAATACCCAGCCTCCACTTGAAACCCCACAGGACTGGGGGGTGGGGGTGGTGATCAGGATTGTTGTGTGTGTGTGTGTGTGTGTGTTTTGTTTTGTTTATGGCAAGTTCAGCTGTGGTTGGTGACAATTAGCTTTAAACAAGATCTTCACTTTTATAGCAAGCTTAACTTCTAATAACCATCATCTTGTTTCATTTTCAGATGGACAAGAAATATTAAAATAATAATAGCTAGAGCTTATATATCTCTTACCCCATGCCTAGGTTTATTGTAGAAACATTAAATCCCATAACAACCTTCTGAGGTAGGTACTATTATTTTTTGTTCCAGTTTTAGAGAGGACAAGGCTGAGGCACACAGAAGCAGGAATTTATGAAAGGTCTATAGCTCCTGTGTGGGGTTTCGAAGACGGATGTGAATTAAAGAATGTGGCGTGTCACGTTAATAATTTTGGCTTTGATTCTATGTTGAAACAATGATAGGTGACATAGGTTGGACTAAATGCTACAGTATTAAAATGAACTTGACTGCTTCCTTTTACCATGTTCATGTGGCCATGAGTCCCTTTAGGGTGATACAGTTCACCTCCCAACTTCTCCCGCTCCCCAGGTTCTGTGTCTGACTTTCATGTCTGCCCTGGAGAAGCAGGCCACCCTCCCTCCCAGGGCAGTAGTTGTCATCTCTCCCTGCCATCCTCAGTCTCCACAGCAGAAAATGACTGGAGCAGGTCCAAGCTCACTGTCTTTGGGCCCCGCCACCCCAAAGCCTGCCTCCTTGCCAGGACTGCTGAGGCCCATCCAACACCCAGCAGCCCAGGGCCCACTGCATACATGTCACATGGTTGGTGTGTCAGGGTTTGGGGTGAATATCTCAGCAGGTCTAGCTCTGGTTCTGGTACAGTGACCACCAGGCTGACTTCCCATGTGCTTTTGAGTGTGGGAGGGGCTGCTGAAAACAACCCTGTAAGGTTCTGGTTTATCCTTCGACCTCTTCATCCACACTGAGCCAAAAACAGGAGAAACAGGAGAGTAAGCAGCAAATCACATATTTTCCAGGGCCTCTGGACAAGTGGGCCCCAGGACTTAGACTCTGGATACTGAGCGTCTCCACGTGGCAGTACATCTGGCTACACCAGGGGAGGGAGGTGTCCAGTGGGCAACATGTCAGCTGCTGCCTCTGGCCCTCCCACCCCTAAAGTCTCCCCCCAGCTTTTCAGAGAAACTGGAGAAGGCTGTTTCCAATTTGCTTCCTGGAATTCAGGGAAGGCGTGGGGTGGTTCTCTTAGAAGTCTCACTCCCATCAAAGCAAATTTTCAGCAAGCTTCATCTGCAAGCAAGCTGTCAGCCTTTCCCATTTAACTCCAATGCTGAACCCCACCCTGGACTAGGACCCTCCCTATAAACCCAGGGGGATGAGCGGGGCCTCCAGTGGAAGGTCAGGACTGTCTGCTGTTCCTTCAATGCAGCTGGTGGCAATTACAGTGGGAAACAGCACAGTCTCGTGTTTTCAACAGCCCGGCTATCTTTTTGATTCTCAAAACTCACCCAACCAGGGTGAGATGGCTTGAGATCTCTGGTGTGCAGGTGAGGAAACAAGGGCCCAGGTCAGAGGAGCTGACTGCCACAATCACCCAGCTGGCAGATTACAGAACTAGGAGAGGGAGCCACATCTTCCCAACATAGCACCTCAGCTCAGGGGACTTCCCTCTCAGCAGCCGGGGCGGCTCCGTCCCTGCATCACCTGAAATGCTGTTGAGGTTGTTGCCACTCTGTGATGAGTGACCATGACTTTCACAGCCCTTCAGCAGCCTGTGCGGGTGCAGAAGCGTTCGGGATGAATTTTGAGACTGGGCGAGGTTCTGGTTATGGTAATGTAACAGAGGGCAGGGCCTTCATTCCAAGGGTGGGGGGCAGAACACAGTGAGCGATCAAGAACAAATAGATAATCCCATGTTGGGCCAAGGGGCTTGAGCAAATCAAAGCGGGGTGCTGGGAGGGCAAAGAGTCGTGCACCCCTTGTCAAAGGGGACATGTTCTGAGAAGTGACTTGTTCAGCAAAGACCACCGGTGTCACTGCACAGGCACAGGCGTGGTGCGGGAACCCAAGACACACCTGGGCTGTGTGGCACTGCACTACGGGAACCACCTTCGTCTGTGAGCCACCATCCAGCAACTCAGGCCCGTCTTTTAGATACTTTGATGGGGCAGATCTCTCTGAAGACTATGAAATCTGGCTTGCTGAGGTGGCAGGGGAGCTCCTCGGGGGGAGAGGTCAGAGTAGGAGGCTTTCGGACAGTCTTGTCTCCAAACACCTGAGGTGCCTCATGTTGACTACAAGCTTTGGATGTGGGTCACTGTGTGGGCACCTGCTTGCTAGATCAAATATATGTGCCTCACCTCTGTCTTCTGGTCTGCAAGGGGAGATTGATCAGCACTCAGGCTTAGCACACGGGTCCCTGGAGATCTTGCTGGAGAACCAGGGCTGGCAGGGTGTCCGAGAGAAGGACGTCCCTGCTCCCAGCCCTTCCCCCTTCTCTGTATTGGTGGAGGGCCCTTGGGAATGAGCCAGGTGGGCATGTGTGTGGAGGGGCAGAGGCTGTGAGGGGCTGGGGGTTAGGTGTTCCCCTAACAGAGAACTTCAGGTGGGGTCACTTTAGTTCTTTGCATTTCTCTAGAACATGTGTATTTATGAAACATTAGCTACTTAACTGAGAGAAGAGAAGCCCTGGGACCAGACAAATTCAAACCAGACTGAAAAACTTCATCCCAGTTTAGAGCCGCATGATTTGTGGGGTAGGGGAGGATGGAACCAACTAACGTGTTTCCTCTTTGGCAGGAGGACTGCATGAGAGCAGTCTTGAATACCCACTGTGTGCCAGGAAGTCAGAAGCCCTGGGATATAGCAGGCTGGAAGCAGGGTCCCTGCTCCCATGGGCCTTCCACGTGAATGGGAGACACTGGGAAGAGACCAAGAGCCCAGGAAGTGGGTAAGTAGGCAAAAAACGGTGATCTGGACAGAAAGGTGCAAACCAGGGCCAGCATGCCAGGAGCTATGTGTGAGAACAGGTCAGGGGAGCCTTAGAGAAGTGACGTCCTCACCAAAACAGGCAGAGGAGTAGGATTGCAGAGGGTTGGGCCCCTAGGAAGAAGGTTGGGAGGGGGGGTGTTGTAGACCAGCCTGAGGGCAAGTGAGGTGCTGGTTGAGGAAGCTAGGGAGAGGGGGGTGGAGCTGGAGTTGGGTGGAGGCCTGCAGATCATTTTGGGAACCTTTTTCATCCCCAGGGGTTCTACTGATTGCTATTTTCAGCCAGCTGTCACTGGAGTAAGTCCCATTTCATCCTCCCTCCCCCTAGCTTTGGAACCCGAATCTTGTCTCTCCGCCTATTTTTCCAAAACAGTCCCTGGCTCCAGCTGCTGAGGCGCTCTGAGGCTGCCAACCTCAGACTCCAGCTCTGAGAAATCCTCTCCTCCCCACCTCTTCCAGACCCCAGCTCCTCTATCTAGGGATGGGCCTTGCCCTGGGCCAGCTGTCACTGAGCCCAGCTTCCTGTTGTCCAACGAGGCTGGTGCCAGGCAGACCCTCTTTCCTCTGCCAGGCTGACAGCCGAGGTGAAGACAGGGGAGTGGTAAATGGGACTGAGCTCTGCCCACTCCCTCGCCTCTCCCATGTCTTTCTTGCCTGCCTTCCTCCAGGGTCTGCAGGAGAGACTCTCTGGAAGTCTCTCTGCCTGGAAGACTCTGTCTGGGAGATTCTCTCCTCCTTCCTCCCTCTCTTCTAGTCTGAAATGTTTGCACACTGCAACTTCCCAAACTGTTTTAAGCCTGCTTTGAGAATTTGGTTTCTTTTCTGAGACTCAGCCGTGTTGCAGCTCACAAGTAACTTGAATTAGTTCTCCTGCACTCTCACCTAGTAGAAAAGGGACAGAAATGCAGGTGCCTGGGGCCCTGACAGTATGTGGGACACTAATTTCCAAAAGTGCTCTGCATTTAATACCAGCACCAAGTTCACCTCCGCATCACACTAAGCGGTGTGATCTCAGAGATGTCAAACTGCAACATTATTTTGTATTTTGTCTCTCTCTGGGGATCTTCTCCAGGATCCCATCACTCTAAGGTGATCCCTCTTCAACTTTCCTTTAAGGTGAACCTTCCTCCGTCCTCCAGCAAAGCTGGCAGGGCCATGTCTCTCTCTAAGCCCCCTCTCTGCCTGGGTTGAGGAAGGAGAGATGGAAGTGACAAGGGGAAAGATAGCAGGAGGGTGTTGACGTGTTTCACAGGGTTGTGGCAGGGAGTGAACACCTCTGCCTGTGGGCTGGGCAGCCACTGGAAGCTACTACTCTCGAGAGGGCTGGAGGGGATCTCCATTTGGCCCTGTGACGGTAAGAACTGGGATGCAAGCCCTGCACATATTTTCTTGCTGAGTCCAAGCCATACCCTCTATTCTAGTTCTGCAGCATCCATTTCAAATGGCCATCCCTGCTGGGCTGAGTGGAGAATAGAGCCTGGAAGTCTTGGCTAACAACAGGGCACGGACCTGGGAGCCCACCTAATTTGTGGTTCCCAAAGTGGGTCCCTGGACCTCCAGGAGCACCATCACTGGGACACTTAATAATATGTAAATCTTCCTTCTGCCCTAACACACACCAGCTGAATTCTAAGCCCAGGGTGGGCCAGTCATGTGGACTTGAGCAAGTCTTCTCAGCCAGCGATGCATACCGGAGTGTGAGAACCACTGATCCAGTGCAACCCTTTGTAGTTCAGGTGGGGAAGCAGGCCCCAGAGTGGGAAAGGACTTGCCCCAGGTCACAGAGCTAGTTCGTTACACTTAGGAACACATCCCATGCAGGAAGTCCCGCCTGCCCAGTTTCATTCTGGAAGAGAGGCTGCTGGTTGCAATGACTGAGTCAATTTGTCAGCTGGTACCTGTGCTGGACCGTGGTTTCTGTGTCTTCACAGCCAGGGGCTAAGGAGGTCAACATCGCTCAGCCTGGCTCACTCTAGTGGCTGCTGTCATCATGCCACTACTGCCTAATGGACACATGTGGAGACTTGCAAAGTCTCCAAAAATTACTTCTTGTCCCTCTATTCCAATAAGCTACCATAGAACATGGGCCGTGCAAATGAAGCAGTACAAAATATAATATTTTTGAAAGAAAGAGGTGTGGAATTTGTAAACAGGAGCCATAGTCCAGGAGAGAAGCTGAGAGAAGGCCTCCTGAATGAGAAGCCTAGGGTGAGAGAAGCATGAGGAAGCTAAATTGAAATAATAGCATTTATTTGCAGGTCTCTGAATTACAAATTTAGGAGAACAAAACAGTTGATCAGCTCAAATTTCTTCCCACTAGCGCCTTGGTTGAAGGCAGGTCTTGAAGGAAAAGCTGGGGAGTAGTTGGAAAAGAATAAAATTCACCATGAACAAGAATTAGCTATCGCTGATGCTCCTTTAAGGTCCCATGCTTTTAGTCAAGCTGGCCTTGGTTACTATGGAGAGAAGAAAAGACGGAGGAGGAGAAATTATCTTTGCACTCTTCCCAGAGAAGGCCACGGCTAGCTGGAAACTGGTTCTCACCAGTCAGTAAATTGGTTTTTCTCTTTAAGTTAAAAGTTCAGTGAGGTGGAGTCTCATGTGCACGATGCAGTCAGTTCAGTCCTTTTCAAACTTCTCTCTTCGTAATGGAGGGTGCCAGGATCTATAGCTTCAGGAAAATAAGTGGGGCATTCTAATGATCTGATGTACTTGATAATGTAGAAAACAATGATATAGAGAACTAAGCAAATGAAAACAAAATATGATTATCTCCAGTAATAAACATATGTACAAGAAAGGAAACAGAATTATAATATAGTGATTATCAGAAACAGCATTGTATTAATTCAAAAAACGAAATTTCAGTATAGTCAAAAATTATAGTTTAACTACATGAAGGAAAGGAAATGGGTTTTGAGTGATGGCAGATGAGGCTAAATCCTTATATTTCATAAAGGAATGGGAAAGGTAATAGGTAAAACTGATTAATCAAAAAGAACTAGTCTTAGCATATTATTTTTTTTAAGATTTATTTATTTATTCACACAGAACTGGCGTATAAGCCAGAGGTGCAGGGGCAGTGAGAGGCCTCACCAGAGACAGAGTGGGGAACAGAACAGGCTGAATGATGAAGTACACTGCTGAGGGGAGCAGCCGGCAGGTCAGGAGAGGTCTGCCACACCATGTGGCTGTGGATAGCTTCCCAGTGTTTCACTTTAATCCACTGTGCCACCAGGGAGGGCCCTTTTATTATTTTTCTTTCTAGAAGCTGAGCTTCTCCTTGGAGCCCAGAGCAGGAAATGCACACTTCTGCCTTAGCCCCTTTCTGTTAGTATTGTACCCAAGGACAACATCAGCCTTTCTCAAAGCATTTAGAAAAATGCCAGAATGTGGATTCCCACATTCAAAACATTTTTTTCGAAAAATTTTTAGATGTAAAATACATACAAGTTTGTCATTTCATTAACACTTGTTATAAAGAAAAAATGTTGAGACACAACTCCCTTGAGTTTTTAATTTTCTTTTTACATTTTTACTTTCCAGTTTACCCTTTTTTTAGGGTTTATTTTTATTTATTTATGAATATAAGAATGGGGGTGTAGGGCAGAGGTGCAGTGGTAGGGGTGTGTGTGAGAGGCTTCACCAGAGACAGAGTGGGAACAGAACAGGCAGATGGATGAAGTACACTGCTGAGGGGAGCAGTGGGAGGCTCAGGAGAGGTCTGCCACGCCATGTGGATCAGCTCCCTGGCCAAGGGCTTGGGAGAGCTTCATAATGAAGTGCTTTCACCTGTTGCGCCACCAGGGAGAGCCCCAGTTTATCTTTTAAAGGAAGTAAATACCAGGAGCAACAGCTGAATGATTTGGGAGGGGGAAGGATAAGGAGTGGAAAATAAGGATTTGAGGGGCTGAAAGTGAGTTTCTTGAACTGTGTGGGTCCACTTAAAGGTGGAATTCCTTTTTCTTCCATCCTCAGACTCGCATTCAGGGATTCAACCCATCACTATATCAACTAATCCAGAGATTGGGTGAGTCCCCAGATGCCAGAACCGTGTTTATATAATGTGGGCTAACTCTGCCTGTCCTCTCCATTGTGCTGGGCCTGCACCCCTAACTTCTGTGTTGTTCAAGGACCAACTGTATTTATAACCTATGGCAGTGTATTATTTCAATAAATTGTTTTTTAAGAGAGGACAGGCTCACTGGTGGCAAACAGGCATGAGCCCAGGGTGTGCGGGGCCGTTTCCCATCCCCAGCTGCTGCCCCCTGACCATCTCACTTTCTCTGAGCCCTGTCTTCTCCCCTGTACCTACTCTGAGGCTGTGTAAGGCTGTTCGAGGATGAAGCTGAGCGTGGACAGCTCTCAGCCCCTGCCTGGTGCGGGAAGCGCCTGGGGGAGGAGCTGCCAGTGTTGTTCAGGTTGGCGCCCCCCCCTACTTAAACCTGAGCCCTCACTGCACCTCACCTGGCACTGTGCCACCCCTCTTGCCAGGGAATTGCACACCACCCTTTGCAATGGGAAATATTTCTGCTCTGCCACATACCAACTGAGCCATATGTATGTGAGTGAAACCCTGGGTCGCTTCTTTCCTTCCCAGTGGGCTCTTATTAGGCTGTAAATCCTGCCTCGGTTCCAGCACTGAAGAGGATGCTCCTGCACTGATCATGGCCTCATCCCATAAAGCCCTCCAAAGCACATTCTCAGGTCATGACCCAAGTCCTCTAAATAAGTACCCCAGAATCAATGGTCCTTAACGTGCATGTGATATGGCGAGAGCAAGGGACAGAAGGAGAATGGCATATCTCCTCTGAATGCCTATCTGACTGGCTTGGGGTCAGCTCAATACTAACCTCGTCTGCTCACAGTGTTCTTGCCTCCCCAGGTGGCCACCATGATCCCTTGGGTGCTCCTGGCCTGTGTTCTCCCTTGTGCAGCTGACCCACTGGTGGGTGCCTTCACCCACAAGGACTTACAGAAGGGCTCCCCTCAACTTGTCTGCAGCCTGCCTGGCCCCCAGGGCCCACCCGGCCCTCCGGGAGCACCAGGACCCTCAGGAATGGTGGGAAGAATGGGCTTTCCTGGTAAAGATGGTCAGGATGGCCAGGATGGAGACCGGGGGGACAGTGGAGAGGAAGGTAAGTAGCCCAGTACTTACCTTTCCTTTCCCCACCTAGATGAGTCTTGACTGACACACAAGAGCAGTGTGTTCTACTGGTATGGGCCATGGACATTAAACCTTGTGTTTCTGCCAAACTGCTTTAATGATTACTCAGGTGACTTTAGGCAAATCTTCCAAAATACCATTCAGAATTCTATTGGTCGCAAGTGACAGAAATTCATAGCCCCAAATGGAATTAATTAATTTGCTTTTGTAACTGAAGAGCCCAAGAGTCAAGCTTCAGGACTACTGAAACTGTTGTCAAGTTTCTGCTTCTCTGTGTTAGCTTAGTTCTCATAAAGACTGGCCGGTCTGGAATAATCTGGAGTAGTGTTCAAGCCTTCTTTTTTATATCCTGATCCATAGAGTAAATCTCAGAGTGACCTTCCTCCTTGACCACATGAGACCTCTACATGCCAGGACTGGGTTGTAATTCTCCCTAACCCCCACTTCCCATGGTGTATGTGAATATCTGGTGAAGACTTTTGGTACCTTTGAGTGACAGACTCCCTGGGACCTTCCTCAAAAGCAAGGCCAAGAAGGAAACACACCGCACGGCTCCTAGTAAAATTTCCAATAAGCTTCCTTATCTATTTGTTCCCCCTCAAAACTCTAATTCCACATGACTGTCTTTCCCTCTCATCTTCACTTTGCCGCTTCTGTTCATTTTTTTCACGGAAGAGCTTTTGATCTTTCCTCGTTTTATTCCCCACTTCCTTTTACTTTGGATTGCATGAGGAATATGCAAATACATTCTCATTGTAATACATTAAAACAATACTAATAAAGCAACAGTCCCTTTAAATTACTACCCAGCTTTCATCCTCCAGAGAGAGGTCAGCTGTGCTAATTTGTGAGATGTCTTCCTGGCCTTTTTCTACATATTTACATATGTGTATAGAAATAATATGCATTGCCAAGTACTTAGGGTAAACAATCTATTCCTGAAAATTAGATATTCGGTGAGAAAATGCTACTTGGAAATTTATTTCCAAATCTCTTAAAACAGGAAAAATTTAAATGCGTTCCATGTTAATCTAAAACACAGCAAAATATCTCATATAGCCATATAAGAAGCAAAATACCCAGTTGGTATGTAAAATGTCTAAAACATTACGTCCTATCTCCCAGTTCACCTAATGCATACCAAACAGTTGTGTGTTCAGTGAAGCCAGATGTTCTTTAGCCTACACCTCAGAAGCAGACTTTCAATTGACAGCTGACATGTTGTCCAAACATTTCCCCCAATTCTGCCCTTTTAACAATTGCACAATTTTATTTGGATGTGACTCAAATCTTGACTATATACATTTTGTTTGAATGTTATATTGAGTTTAGTAGACTTGAACATAAATGTTTCCTAGATTATCATTGTCCCAAAATGCTGTATATAGAAAAATGTACATTTTATGAAAAATGGGTATTAAAAATCAAGATACATTCTGCAGGAAGACATGACTGGGGAATTGTGAGGAGATGCTAGCTAGACCGAGTGCAAGCTTACTATAGGCACCAACTCATCTTTGTGCTTCGAATGGGTACAGAAATAGAGACCATTGTGTTTCCTTTGAGCAAACACACTTCTGCCACCTGCTTTTTCTACTTAGCAGAATGTTGGAGAGAGGTTTTCCTGGTCCGCCTAGAAATCCACATCTTCTCCTAACTCCTGCGTAGAATTGCACCATGTGGAAGGAACGTTGTTCTCTAATCACGTCCCTTTGCTTGGGTATTGAGTCATTCCTAGTTTTGCTGTTGTCAGCAATGCTACAGCAGAACACTTGCCCACATGGGCAGGTATGTTGGGTACTGGGCAGCAGTTGCATCGAGGCCAGCGTTCTCTTCTCAGCCCTTCCCAGCACAGCCTGTGCAAGAATTGGTCTGGCAGACACACCAGAGACTTCCTTAGAAAGCAGGTAAAGGGATGCCAGTGAGTTGGGACTAGAGGTTCTTGTGCTCATCCACCGTGATTCTGGAAGGCAAATACAGGGGTTTCCCCCACCTCCCTTATTTGGGCTTATTTGCCACAGATTCAGTTGTCTGGTCAACATGACCTGAAAATGTTGGGTGTGATAAGATATTTTGAGAAAGAAAGGCCACGTCGTATCACTTTTATGGCTGTATCTTGCAGTAGTTGTTCTGCTTGATCAACTGCTGCTGGTGTTAATCTCTTACACTGTCCAGCTTTGTAAATCAGACTTTATTACAGGTATGTAGGTACGTCTAGGAAAAGACACAGCCAGTCCAGGGTTTAATACTGTCTGCAGTTTCAGAAACCTACTGCAGAGGTCCTGTGCTGTGAACCAGGGACGACTGTACCCATTCCCATTTTCAAGATAAAACTGGAAGAGAGGCCTCAGATTCTATCAGGCTATGTGCTATTTCTATGCAACTCCAGAGCCTTCTTGTTCTCTTAATGACCCAAAGGATGGAGCTCTGAGGATGGAAAGCAAAGCCTCTGTAACAGCAGCTGCTCTCTCTTCCAGGTTCACCTGGCCGCACAGGTAATCGGGGGAAGCCAGGACCAAAGGGCAAAGCTGGGGCCATAGGGCGGGCCGGCCCTCGCGGTCCCAAGGGAGTCAGTGGTGCCCCGGGACAGCATGGCACACCGGGCAAGAAGGGGCCCAAGGGCAAGAAGGGGGATCCAGGCCTCCCGGGCCCCTGCAGCTGCGGCAGTGGCCATGCCAAGTCAGCCTTCTCGGTGGCAGTGACCAAGAGCTACCCCCGAGAACGGCTGCCCATCAAGTTTGACAAGATCCTGATGAACGAGGGCGGCCATTACAATGCATCCAGTGGCAAGTTTGTGTGTGGAGTGCCGGGGATCTACTATTTCACCTATGACATCACGCTGGCCAACAAGCACCTGGCCATTGGCCTGGTGCACAATGGCCAGTACCGCATCCGGACTTTTGATGCCAACACGGGCAACCACGACGTGGCCTCAGGCTCCACCATCCTGGCCCTCAAACAGGGGGATGAGGTCTGGTTGCAGATCTTCTATTCAGAGCAGAATGGGCTCTTCTATGACCCTTACTGGACTGACAGTCTCTTCACGGGCTTCCTCATCTATGCTGACCGGGATGACCCCAACGAAGTGTAGGCAGATGACAACAAAGGTGTCCAAGGAACAGGTTCCTGGTCTGCTACTCACAGAGTAAGACCCCCCCAGCTGTCTGTGGGTACCAGGAGTCAGGAACTTCTAGATTGGAGCCAGCCCCCTCTGCCTCCTTTTGCTCAATAATTAAAGCCAAGCTTTCATATTCACCCTTTCATTGATCTAGTCACTCATTTTCTGTGTTCACTGTGTGACAGGTGCTGTGCTTTGTGCTGGAAGGTACATCAGGAAACAGGACAGACAGAAGCTCTGTCCTCGTGGGGCTCCTATGGGAGATGCAATTACAAACAAGGGAGCAAACTCTGTTATTCCCGTGCCAGGAAATGTACCTGCCATGGGTAAGAGCAGTGAGTATGTCAGGAGACAGGGAAGAGGTGGAAATATTTTTTTTTCAACTTCATTTTTTTATGTTTTCTCACATCCTGCGAAGTCCACAGAGCTCGAGTAGACAATTCAATGCATTTTTATAGGTGCACACACTTTCAAAACCCCACGCCCCATAGATTCAGAACAAGATAAATCCAGCCCCCAACTCCCCAAACTCTCTCTTAAAGTCCCCCCAAGTTAGTACCAACAAGAGGTTAATTTTGTGATTCTTTTGTTCTTTATTTGATCTTGATAACAGACCCAAGGGATCTCCTAACCTCACTTAGACAGTAGTTGTTACTCTTGTGAACATTTTTGAGTTATCAGTAATGATGCATAAATGACCACAGGAAGAAATAAGACTGGCCAAATCCTCCTCTTTGATTGAGTTTAGCACTTAAGCATCAATGCAAATTTCCCATCCTTCTGGGTTACAACAAATATCCTTTTTGTCTATTCTTTTGACCATCTCTCTCCTTGCATCTTCTATCAAAAAAAAAACAAAGTACTTTTCAGAGAAAAACCCTAAGAAATCCCTAAGTCTTTGAAAAGCCTATCCCATAGCAGCCCAAACTTTCTATAAATAGCCCATGACTCCAGATCCCTGCACTGGAATGTAATCTAGAAAAAAATCAGTTCAGGCACATGTGGGTTCTCACACATACCTTCTCTTCTACTTCATGCAAAATGCTGTGTGTTCTCTCCACACAGAGAACAACAGGTCCTTTGTGTGGAGGGCTAATATGTCAACCGAAAGTGTTTGTGATTGGTTAGTGCTTTTGAGGAGACACAAATTTGGTAAAAACACTTTTTTTTTTTAAGATTTATTTATTTTTGGGCCCTCCCTGGTGCCGCAGCACTAAGAAGCTAAAGCCACTTCTGCATGAGTTTGATCCCCACCTGCTCCGGAGGAGATCCACATGGCGAAGCAGACCTCTCCTGACCCGCCCGCTGCTCCCCTCAGCAGTGTACTTCATCAATCTGCCTGTTCTGCTCCCCGCTCTGTCCCTGGTGAATCCTCTCACCCTCCACATCTCTGGCCTATACCCCAGTTCCATATGAATAAATAAAAAAAAGATTTATTTATTTTTGCACTCAAGAACTGGGGTATAGGCCAAGGATGCAGAGGGTAAGAGCATTCACCCTTACCTTTACCCTAACCAGAGTGGGGAACAGAACAGGCAGATGTATTGAAATACACTGTGGAGGGGAGCAGCGGGTGAGACAGGAGAGGTCTGCTGCACCATGTGGGTCAGCTCCCTAGCCAGGGATAGAACTTGTGAGCAGTGACTGCATATAGCTCCATAGTGCTGCTTCTTAATGCCTTGCACCACCAGGGAGGCCCCAAAACTCACTTTCTAAAAGAAGATTATTTGGGGGGAAAGGGGACTACTGCTACTTGTTAAATTTTTATTTAATTTTTATTGAAAGACTTTTGTTTTACAATATTATAAATTCACATCTGTATATACCACATAGTGTTCATCACAAGAATTCAAGTTTCCTTCCTTCTCCATACAATTAAACCCCTCTATATCCAACTATAACACTGCCCCACCACCACCACAACCATTTCCCCTTTCTCTGCTGCTAACCACTCCTTTTCCTTATGGTTTAAATTTTTTTTTCTTTTGTTTCTTTATCTACCACATATGAGTGAAGTGACTTGGTGCTTTCTTTTCTTTCTCTTTCTGAATTATTTCACCAAGCCTGATACCCTCAAGCGCCATCCCTGTTAGTGTAAGTGGGAGATTCCTTCCCTTTTAGAGCTGAGGACTATTACACTGTGGATACATGCCACTTTTTCTTTATTTACTCATCTATTAATAGACACTTGAGTTCTCAAACCTCAGTTATCATCAGTAGGGCTGCCATAAACATGGGGCGGGGGGAGGCACATATATCAAGAAAAGGTTAATTTTTTTTAAAGATTTATTTATGTATACATACAGAACTGGAGTGCAGACCAGAGGCGGGGGGATGACACGATTCACCAGAGACAGAGTAGGAAGCAGAAGAGGCAGCTTGACTGAAATACACTGCTGAGAGGAGCAGTGGGCAGGTCAGGAGAGGTCTGCCATGCCATGTGGGTCACTCCCCTAGCTGGGGATTGAACTTGTGCTGCAGTGGCTGTGATAACTTCATGGTGCTTTAACCCATTGTGCCACCAGGGAGGGCCCAAAAAGGTCAATTTTTTAACTGAACCCTGAAGCAGGAGAAAAAAACAATGCCAAGATCTGGGGGAGGAGCTACAAGGTGAAGGTCTTGAGTAGGAAAGAGCTGGGCATATTTGAGGGGCCACTGAGGACTAGAGGCATGGATGGGGTGAAGTGAGGAAGAGGCAGGGGCATGAGGCGAATCCCACCGACTGCAGCAAAGAGTTCATGCCACTCAAGAGGCTTTATCAGAGCCAAGAGTGAGCATCTCCTGCAGGCCACTACTCCATCCACAAGACGTGTGGTGGGCCTGAGCCATGGAGGGTGCCATGGGTAGCAGATAAATGCTTCCAGCCCTGTGTTTTCCAGCATTACGAGACGAGGAAGGGGAAGAAGTCGCTGTACAAAGTGGCGGTACTGAGGGCATCCCACAGGCACACTAGGGGAGAGAATGTCCTCAGTGGGGCCATTACTTTCTGGCAGCTGGCTCCGACTCGCCTCTAGCTGTAAGGGGGTGGGTGCCGGAGGGACTCTAAGGCCAGGGCAGGAAGCCATAATAAATAAAATGGGGCTTATGCCTTTGATAAAGTGGGCTTAACGTAAAACTCTCTTCTCACTAGGCCACAAAAAAGTAGGATTTGGGATGGGTCTGAGAAGCCCTGAGAGGGTTTTGGGAGCTGTGTGGGTCAGGGTCCTGCCTGGCACCCCCATGGAAAGGAGTAACCTTCTGAGTTCAAGGGGGCTATTTGTGAACAGTTGTTTTTTCCTTTTATTTTAAAAATGTTTTAGGAGGGACTTTAGTGACTTCCTCTTCCTTCCCCTTGGAATGTAGGGTTTTGAAAGCAATTGACTTAACCCTTCATAGCTGGGTAATAAATTCAGGCTGAGCTGGAGACTCCACAGTTCTGTGGTAGCGGGGCCTGACTAAACTTGTGTCTCACTGGTGCCCAGGATGCCAGTGGGATGGGGTGGTGGGGTAGTCAGAGGAGAGAGGGATCAATAGAGACAGAGACCTTGCAGAGCTCAGGGCTGGGGCTTTGTCTTCCTTTGATGCGGTGGGAGCTGGTGGAAGGGGCGTGCTGGGTGTGTGGCAGGCAGGGCAGAGGCAGGTGACACAGCTGACCAACTGAACCCAGCAGCCTTCTTGCTGAGCCACAAGGATTTCTCAGGCAGATGCTGCAGAATGGAGGGTGTTCTAAGGTGATGACCTCTGCAAACACTCTTGGGCAGCAACTGCTCCTCCTGGTCCTGACACTTCCTGAGGACCTCACAAACACATTCATAGACTAATGAATACCATTGCCCCTGCAATAACATTGCTCTTGAGGGCCTCCCTGGTGGTGTAGTAGGTAAAATCTCAACACTATCAAGCTACTGACCCACATGGCACAGCAGACCTCTCCTGTCTCTCCTTGCATTTCAGTCAATCTGCCCGTTCTGCTCCCCACTCTGTCTTTGGTGAATCCTCTCACCCTCTGCACTTCTAGCCTGTACTCCAGTTCTTGTACGCACAAATAAATAAAAATAAATCTTCAAAACTAAATCAATAAAAACAAATAAAATTGCTCTGGTTGTAGGAATTTGTGCACACTTTGAAAGGCAGATATTGTCAAAGAGAATCCTGAAGTTAGGGCACATGCTAAGGACAGATTCGGTCCATTACTCATACAAAATGAATCCAAAGGTAGCTAAAGTGACCCCGCATTTTAAATGGGGGATGAGGAAACAGAGAGGGGAGTGAGTAGGAGCTTTGTAGAGTCAGGGAGGTGAAAAGTTCCAAAGCACTGGAAGGTAGGGAGGGTGGGGGCGTTCTGTGATCCTTGAGGGTCTAAGGGGGTTATTAAGGAGACTTTATCGGAGGTTGTTAAGGGGACTTTATCGGAAGCCTGCTCCTCCCTCCCACAGAGGCTGGGAGCCAGGCCCTATCTCCAGAAGTTGCTGGAACAAACAATACATTCTTTTGGCTGCCTGTTTTCTCAGGCAGCCACTTTAAAGGGGGGCTGGGGTCATCCTAGGGAGGTGACCTTAAGCTTTTAGAAGGGACTTTAGTGTTTATCCAAGTCTTTATAGGCCAAGGATGATAGGCCAAACAAGAGGAGGGTTCAAGGGAACCTAGCTAGAGTTTGTCACTTTTGTTCCCTTATGGAGAGAGCCTGAGGAATTTCAGTGCTGGTTGTATCTGTGAAGCCAGCCCCGCGTCTCTGGGCCTCGAGACTCAGCTGACCAGTGCGGTAGCTGGAGGTTTGTAACCAGGGTGAATGCAGCAATGGCCTGAGGCTCAGAGTTTAAAGGGGTATCAAAAATCTCAGTAATCAACATAAATAACATTTTAATGAAGCAAAATGAGTGCTCAAAACTGAGATGAACAAAACTTCAAAAATTTAAGTATAGACAGATGGGACAGTGCTGGGATCAGGGCGAGGTGGGGGATGCCAGTCTGCAAGAGCAGATGCAATGGGGGGGGGGAGCCCCCTCAACAGTATTCAGCTTTTGGGAGGCGGGTCCACCAGAGGAGGAAAACGCTTTGCTTCACTTCCTGCCTGTCTTCCTCACTCTTTCCACTAGAGGGAGACCCTTCCGTACAAAAACCTCCAGTTCTGAGGTTTAGGGGCTGGAAGATCA